GTGAAAACGCTGTCGGAAAGCTCTCAGGGCGGCCAGGAGGGAGTTCACACAGCTGACAGACTTCTGTAAGCTTCCAAATGCAGCTCATGCATATATAACCTATGCATGAGATACCCAGCTGACAGGAAATGTTCTCACAGCTTTCACTGAAGTTTTTGCAAAGTTATAGAAATGTTATTATAAAACGGATAGTTCCGGTCCTTGACTCTGGGGCTTATTGCTTTAGGAGAAAACATTCTTAACGTTATGTTTATGGAACGTTCTTATAACTTTAATGTTGAGAGAAAACATTCTGAGATCAACATTTTCGTAATGTTCCTATGATGTTATTTGAATTTGAGGATTATTCAAACATTTTTGTAACATTTCAATAACGTTCTAATCATGACAAGATAATTGGTGATTTTAATGTTCTTAGAATATTAAAAATAAATGTTGTTCTAAATTGTATTTTTACCCCAAATATAACATTATTTGAACATTTAAGAAATGTTTTAGTCACCTTTAAATAACGTTGCAATCACAACGATAACTGGGCATTTTAATGTTCTTAGAATATTATGAATAAACGTACAAATAACATTATATTTTGGGTAAATAAAATTAAGTCGAACGTTTAAGAAATGCTTTAAATACCTTTAAATAATGTTCTAATCACGACACGAAAACTGGACTTTTTAAAAAAAGTTCAAATAATGTTATATTTTGTGTGAAAATAATGTTAGTAGAACATTGCAAGAAACATTTTTGTAACCTTTAAATAGCATTCTGATCACAACAAGAAAATTAAAACATTCTTAGAATATAAAAATGAAACGTTCAAACTATGTTATATTTTGGCTAAAAATAACATTTAGTAGAACATTTTAGTAACCTTTAAATAACATTCTAATCACAACAAGAAAACCAGACATTTTAACATTTTTAGAATATTAAAAGTAAACGTTCAAATAATAGTTATATTTTGGGAGAAAATAAAGTGTTGTAATGTTTTGGTAACCTTTAAAGGGGTCATATGATGCTTTTTTAAAGATCATTATTTGGTGTAACAGAATATGTTGACATGCTTTAATGTTCAAAACACATTATTTTTCAAATACTGTACATTATTGTAAGTCCTCTATGCCCCGCCTCTCTCAAACGTTTCGTTTTCTACAAAGTCCCTCCTTCCGACACGCGTGCACACACACACACACGCACACATGATGCGCATTTGAACAGTCAATAGCAAATACTTAAACTAATAAGAAAACAGTAGCTGATTCAGAAGCACCAGATTGTCATAGCAAAGTCAGAATGACCTCCTCTCCTAGCATTATAACCGCTATAATTACGACAAGAAAATAATCACGAAACGTTATGATCACAACAAGAAAACCAGACATTTCAGACTCATAACAAGCTAAACTGTCTGTGTTTAGAACTTCTACAACAAGTTTTACAGTGTTCTCAGGTTGACATTTCTCAACTTCAAACCCATCGCAGAGCAAATTTTCATGACCACTGCTGTAGGTTTTCTGTCTGACGTGTCTCTCTGTCCTGCAGGCTGTGTACTTTGGTGGTTCAGATATTAAGCCTGATGTTCAGAGAAACAGAGATCGAAGCGGCGAGGCTCAGCATGCTGACGGCCAAACAGTGAGTGATTCTTCCTCCAGTAATACCAGCGCACTCGTTTCAGCTTATTTCACTGAGCAATGGCTGATGTTTGACACAGGGGAGCTCTTACAGAGAACATGCTGCTGGCTTTAGTGCGTGATCCAGATCTCCAGCTGCCAGACTCCACTGATGCCTCGAAATCTTCACTTAATAAGGTATAAATAATGGAAAAGTGAAAGGTTTGGTTATCATATACTCACCCTTGCTTCCCAGGTGTAAGGAAAAGATGAAATAAGTTCTTTTTTGTTTTGTTTTCTTCCACTCGTATCTTGTTTATGATCAATTGATTTATAATAATGAAATGTAATTTATGATAATGAAGCGTCTTTGTGTGTCGCAGCTGCAGGCAGACTATCTGGATGCGGCATCTGCACTGCTGTTTGAGCTGGTTGTGTTCTGTCAGGAGGTGAGTAGCATTATCTCATCTATGTGTATAGATTTGTTTCAAAAAAATCATTATAAATAAAATTTAATTTACATTTTTTTCATGTTTCTGAATGCAGTCTCTTCTGCTCAACAAGGCTGCATTTATTTTCTTTTATGAAAAATAATAAACAATAAAAATAATAATAAAGAGTAAAAAGCTGTAATATTGTGAAATATTATTACAATTTAAAATAACTGTTTTCTATTTGAATATATTGTAAAATGTAATTTATTTCTGTAATCAAAGCTGAATTTTAAGCATCATTACTCCAGTCTTCAGTGTCACATGATCCGTCAGAAATTCACATTTAGTAAAACATTTAGTATTATTATTATCAATGTTGAAATCAGCTTTCGCTGCTTATTTGTATTATTATTCTTTTATTTTATATTTTATTTATTTATTTATTTTTTGGAAAACCATGATACACTACCATACACAAGTTTGGGGTCATATGTTTCTTTAAAAAAAAAAAAAAAAAATTTTTTTTAACAAGGACACATTAAATTGATCAAAAGTGACAGGGAAGACATTTATAATACAAACTATTTATATTTAAAATAAATGCTGTTCTTTTGAACTTTCTGTTCATCAAAAAAAATAAATTTTTACAACAATTTTCAACACTGATATCACAAGAAGAACCGTTATTAATAATTGTGCATCATTAATAATTGATAATAACCAAGCAGCAAATCAGGTGCATA